GGCTGGCAGAGGCAGAGGAGGTGTGGGGAGCAGCAAAAGCCCTGAGACTGGGAGGTCGAGCGTGTTTAGAAAGTTCAGGGAGATCGGTTTGCCGGGAGTGGGAAGGCAGGGTTATTCCCTGGGCATGCGATGTCTGCCCACTGGCTGGGCTCTCTGTAAGGGTCGCCTCACTCGACCTTGAGATGACAGAGGACAAAGGTGCAGGTGCAGAAGGGGCAGCTCAGAGAGTCCAAGGTCACACTGCCAGCAAATGCCAGAACCAGGATTCAAACCTGGGTATCTCTGACAACAGAGCAAACCCAGGCCAGCCTCAGCCTGCACTGAGCTCTGGGGATCGGAACAGAACAAAACGGCAGGGGCGAGGGGGGAAATGGACACGGGGAACAGATCACCCCAGGCGGTGGGGCCCCACACTTTCTGATTTTGAGGTAGAAAGACGCAGGCGCCCTCCTCCACCCCCAGACACAGGAAGGCAGCATGACGGTTCCCGGAGGCTGGGAGCAGGGGCCGATCCTTCGCAGGGCCTGAGGTTGCTTTGCTGTCGGCTCCCTTTAAAAGGTCAGAGGATCCGAGCCCGCCTTCCCTCGGTGGACCTGAGGCAAGTCATGGAACCTGTCTGGCCTGTAGGTGCCTCATCTTGAAAACCGGGGGTCGACTACCCAGTCACTGGGTCCCTTCCAGCTTCGGGACCCGCAGGACTAGGCCAGGACTTAGGCTTTCAGTGTGACCTTGAGCGATGACAGCGGTAACCTCTGACTTCACGGGGCCCTGGGGTGTGCCGCGCACCATGCTTCTCACCACATCTCCCCGTGGGCTTTAAGATGAATACCAGACTATCCCTGCTTCACAGAGGAGCACACTGAGGCTCAGATGGAGGGGTTCGCCTACACTCCCAGGCTAGAGAGAGAAAAGGTCAAGATCCGAGCTCAGTCCTGTGGGGCCCCGAGCTCACGCCCCGCACTGTCTGCCTCATTCGTTCACTGCAGTCTAGTGGGCACCTACCAATCATTTCAGTGGCCGGCTTCTTCCTGGCTGTCAGTCCACAGAGCAGGGGCAGGATTTGTTTTGTTCTGACCCCAGCCCCTAGAATAGGGCCCGGGACCTAGCGAGAGAACTGGAAAGTGGCTTATTGAAAGAATGACTGAACGGACGAATGTGGGTCCCGCTCTGGGGAGGCTGTGATGAGGAAGCACAGCCGTGGGTAGGCAGACGCGGTCCACAGCACAAGGCTAGAGACCTGTGCCAGGGGGGCTTGTATGCGGCAGGGGTGGGGGCAGATCCAAAGCAGGGTCTGCCACTGTCCCCAGCTATTGTCCTTCCAGACACAAAAGCTATTTGCCTGGTTCTTTAAGATCCCAGAGCAAAGGGAGCAGGTAGAAAGACGATGTTCTGATTATAACCCTTGCGTTTCTGTCTCGGGGGTAACTACTTCCAGGAAGCGCGAGGACGTTTATAGACGTGGTTGACTGATTCTTGAAGGCTTCCCTGAAAGGCTGGTGTGGAGCTGGTAAAGGGGGGGAGGGGGACTCACGGCAGAAAAGGATAGAGAAGCTGGAAAAGTACATGGTGCCCGAAAGCCCGGCCGCAGCTGCAAAGCTAGGCACAAAGCGTGTGAGATGTGCGGGCCAGATGTGCAGGCGGACATGCAGGCCAGATGTGCAACGCGACGTCTGGGCCAGATGTGCAGGCAGATGTGCAAGTCAGATGTGCAGGCGGACGTGCAGGCCAGATGTGCAGGCCGACGTGCAGGCGAAGACATGTAGCAGGTGCCTTTCCATGCACTTCCCTTTCACAGTGGTCGTAAACTGGGTCAGCTATCGGAGCCCCCAGGAGGGCTTTCCTCAGCACAGATGGCCCAGCCCCACCCAGGAGTTTCTGACTCCTTAGGTGAGGCCCACCCTTCGGCATTGCGAACGAGCCACCAGGTAGTGCTGGTGCTGCAGGGAGCCGCACTTGCACTAATTCTAAGAAGCAGTGTGACGCCAGCTCTGTTTGCCAAGGAGGCTCAGGAAGGTTAGAAACACGCCCGGGTCACTTAGCAGCAGAGGCAGAGCTGAGGTCGGGCCACGCAGCCCCGACACTGCCACCCTGCCTTCCACATGTCCTCAGCCTGAGCTCTCCCAGCTCGTGGCCCCTTCCTGCCCACGAGGAGGGAGCCGACAGGCAGGAGTCGAGGGCAGCATCCACTCATGCCTTCGTGTGCCGGGTGCTGCACAGGCCCCTACCTCACTCACTCAGCCTCAGGCCGGCCCTGCAGGATCCCCCTATCACCCTCACTGAGTAGACAGGGAAAGCGAGGCCCAGCGAGCAGAGCAGCGTGCTGGTGATCACCGGGGCCCACTTCAGCCCCTGAGTGCAAATACCTCGCTCTTCCCCACCATGCTGCAGACAGAGCCCCCCGCCCCACACCCACGCACAGTCCCCGCTACGTCTTCCCCGAGTCCCAGTCCCAGCGGCTGACCCGTACTCCTGTGCTTCAGGCCTCTTCCCACTCAGGAGCCTGGTTTGCTTTGAGCTCCCTTTGCTGAAAAATTGAGTCGTAATTATCTTGGAGGACCGTACCACTCACGCGCCTGGAGGCATTTGCCTTTTCTGTTTCCTCCTGGCAAAAATCTGTTCTCTTTTATCCTTAAGTGACTTCTTGAAGACGAGGTGGGGTGGTAGAGCAAGCCCTCGGGCTGTGCAGCACACCTGAAGTCAGGCAGAAAACAGTACCTGACAGGCACAGGGACGGAAGGTGAGGGCGCGCCGTCCGTCTCTGGGGCACCACCTCCTCCTCTGTGCAGTGGGCTACACACGCACACCTGGCAGACAGGGGTGTTGCTTGACCTAAGTGACTTCCCGGAGTGACTCCTGTCTTGTCAGTTTATGCTCACGCTTCGGCTCATAAGCCACCTCAAAA